TTTCCCAAAGTATACGATAGTATACTCTGTATATGATAAATAAAATCTAGTCAAGAATCATTCGATTTGAAAAATTATAATTACCTGTAATGAACATTGATATTGACATCATTTGACCTGAGCACCAAATTACTGTAACGCTGTAATGGAATATTTAGAAAATATTTTCCAGAAAAATCTATAGAAATATGGAAATATCATACTTATTTTATAAAAATCCGAGCTTCAAAAAAAGTAGAAGGTAATTGAAACATGAGAAAGGGTACGATTGCCTCTGTCGTAGCTATCTCTTCATCAGCAGAATACTTTCTATGGAAATGTCAATGAAAAAGAGCTTGTGTACTTCAGGTCTCCAATCGAACGAATGGTTGTTTCTCTTACATGTTAGCAAAGGTATGATTCAGTAATTCAGTATTATTGGATAATGATTTAGAGTAATCACATGGCAGTGCCATATTCAGCCACAAATAGCAATCGAAAATGATGATATTTCGCGAACCTCCTATATAAGTAACCCTAGAACTATAATGATGGAGTTGAAAGAGTTTTGAAACTGTTGGATGAAATGGAAGAAAAAACTGATTCTGCGAATGTAACGCTACCTTATTCGAAAAAAACCCAAATATAAAATCAAATTCTTCGTAAATAAAATCTCACAAGATGTGCAAAATTCCTGAATACCACAAATTGTTGACTTATTTTCAGTTCGTCTGTTATCACACTTGTACGAGTTTTTTCTTGGTGTGGATTAGTGGATTTATTCATTATTCAGATTATCCCAAGTTGAAAACCAGAAAACATTGATCACTTCACAAGAAATATTTTCAGAGAACTCATTTTATTGAATTCTTTAGATGATAGATAGATAGATAGAAAGATAGATATTTATTTAACTATGTAACTCATACATGATATGGTTTATAGCAAGTCAATCANCAAGCTCTTCCAGATCATCTTTTTTGTGTAGAGGTAAAATTTTTGATATTTTAAATGCATTTGGAAATATACCCTGGATAAAACAGTTATTAATCAAAACTGTGAACGGTTCTACTAAACTGTCTACAGTTTCTTTCAAGAGTGAATCACTCAAACCATATACATCCGTTGTCGAAGACTTTTTCAGCATCTGTATAACTTGGAGTACCTCAGAGGGGGTCGTCTTGCACAAAAAGAAATTGCAATTAACCGGAGGTATTGATTTAAGGTAGTCTATAGCGTTAATAGACATATTTGGAATATTTTTTATTATTTTTTCAGCCACTGTACAGAAAAAATTATTAAAATCATTTGCCAACAGTATATCAGATCTTTTTGAGTTAGATTTCCTATTACATTCAAAATTAACTAAATTCCAGCACGCTTTATTCATATTTTTGGAGTTTTGTAGATAGGAATCAAATGCCTGCTTCTTGGTTAGCAGAATAGATTTTTCATAATCCTTTTTCAGATTTTTGAAAAGGGACCACTTGGCAGGATCTTTGTCAACATCACATATAATTTTCAGTGACGATAAAATATTCCTTTTTTTTATTAACTCTTGACTAAACCAAGAAGGAGAGACCAGGGTTGGAAGTCACATTTTGTGTCTTTTGCATTTTTAGTGTCCTTTTCTATAAATTATCAATGATATTTTCTTATCAATAGATAAGGTTTCTATACTCATTTGAAAAAAATATTCTTTTTCTCTCCAACATCATCCGTAGAGGAAATTTAACAATTCTTATGGAAAAGAAAAAGTGTGACAGTATCTAAGATGGTTCTCACAGTATCTGGGGTTAGTAGTCACATAGGTGATTGAGGGGTATAAAAAAACATTCAAATGAATATTTTCATTGAATGTGGAATAATATACGTAATTAATTATATCCAAAAAGAGAAAGAAGTGTTTCATTTGTAGGAAAAAACATATTTGCTCCAAATGAATAACTTCCTTCTGGCAACTAAAATAACATATATATCGATCAGGCCGCAACGCTTGTAAACTAAAAATACCCATCCTAGCGAAATTATATTATATTTTTTTGTTTCAGATTTATGTCCTCGTAGTCATGATCCTGTATGTAACCGTTACTTTGACAAAACCTTTAGCATCTACAGACCGACCTTCCATTTCCGACGATGCCTTGGAAAGCACATTGAAAGACAAACGATATCTCCTGAGGCAGTTGAAATGTGCTATTGGAGAAGCCCCCTGTGATCCTGTGGGTAGGCGCCTGAAAAGTGAGTAATCATAAATTCATGCGATACAATAAATGGGTAAAGTCCTTACTGGCTGATATTCATTAAGGTTTCTTGAATGAAAATTACAAGAAAAAAGACGATATAGGGAAATGAGTTTAGTAGTCAATAAATACAGTCCAACTGGAGATACAAACTGACTGATAAATAGAGGGGCAACTTCCTTATTTCAAATGGAAAACACCCTGTATTTCATTACATTTTTGAATTTCTCAGGACATTTTAGGCCCACTTTGTATAACAATGCATATGCCCAAATTTGTTAGTTTTCGGGATATTAACTGCCGCGATTTCGGATCTTTTTCGTCTGTCATCAACAAAAAAAAACACTCGTAAACAATGAGGACATCGAAATTGTAGTTTTGGCCTACTTCACAGCCTATCCAGAAAATTCATTGAAAAACGCAGAAAAGTCACTTAGAATTTCATGTTCGTCAATAAACCGGCTTTTGCTCAAACATTATATATCACCAGGTTCAAAATCTGAAACCTCAAGACTTACCTGCACGAGTGGAATTCTGCGAATGGTTTTTTATCAAGATACAGGAGGACCCTGAGTTCATGAAGAACATGATATGGACATATGAAGCCATAATAGTCATTTTTGGGCAGCAGAAAATCCAAAGCTCGTTCGCCACCGCAACTTCCAGGATTCATGGAGTTTTAATGTTTTTTGCGCTATAAAGGAATACCGAATTTTATGTTTACATCTTTATGAAGAGAACTTGAATAGCGATAGATATTCGCATATAATTAGGAATGTGGTTGGTGAAACCATAAGGCATGTTTGTGAACAATACCGTTTCAAGTTATGGTATCAGATGGATGTACATAGTACATACCGTTGATGGGTTGTTGAATGGGATTTTCGAAGATCAGTGGCTTTGCTACAATAATGGGCCATTTAAATTTCCTCCCCGCTCTCCAGACCTGACGCTACTGGAGTTCTTCATCTAGGGATATATCGAAGAAAATGTTTATGCGGATCCTGTGAGTGATAAAGAAAACATGAAACGAAGAGTTCTGAGAGCTTTCAATAATTTGATTCCTGACTCCATACAGGAAGCTACAAATAGTGGTATGCAAAAATGAATATATTCTTGTTTGGAACAAAACGGCAATGTCTTTGAACATCTGTTGAAATGAACCACAATATTATTTGAATTTAAAGAAATTACGTTAAATTCTAAAATTAAAGTAAAATGTAACCTTAAAAAATATGAACAAAATAAAATTACTGTATTCGATATCAATAAACGAAGATATAATTCATCTCTCTGATAGTATTTCATTTCAATCCATCCATTTTCATGTTGAGTTACCTTTAATATTAGTTCATTTGTGTGCAAAGCTTTCTTGGTTTGGTATTGCTTCGAATGATTCAAATTTCAAATATTTTCCAAAATCGGATATATCTTGCCAGGGGTGTATTTTAGTTCAGGTATAGGACATTCTTCATGAATTTGATATATTTTTTTCGTAGTATCCAAAAATAATAGAATAGTGTATGGTTTCTAATTGGAAAATTCGTGTTTCTTCATCAGTTTTCTCGATGTTATGTTTTAGGTGGAAATTTCAACCACCCTGTAAATTATTTTCGAAAATTCTATGGACCTGTTCATGACTTGATGCTTTTCTGAAAAAAAATAATATCTCGAAAACCAACAAATCAGGGTATAGGCATTGTTATACAAAATGGGCATGGCATGTGCTGAGAAATTCAAAAATGTAATAAAATACAGGGTGTTTCATTCAGGGCCGTCGCCATTGGGGAGATGGGGGGAGCTTCCCTCCCTGCTTTTTTGACTTGGGAAAAAGTTGGGAAAAGTTGGGAAATTTTGGGTCATGAAGATAGAAAAAAATAATAGTGAAAAAATCAATAAAAATTAAAATTGAGAGAAAAGGAGAGGAAATAAGAAAAGGGAAAGAACCAGGAGAAGGTTGGGATTTCCCAGCATACATAATTTGAAGAGAATTTTGAATTGTTGAATTGAATATCGTGATCCTTAATTAAAGACAAACCCTAAAAGATGTAAATACTTCATTACCAAAATATAGAAAGTGTGGTTCTACCTCCCATTCATTTACCATAATACTTACTATACACAAAAGGCAAGTTACAGGTTGTAGTGCAACAAAGTCTTCATCACCATCACTATATTTTCTACCCGGTTCTGTATTATGTAAAGCTTCGTTTGCCTTTTCAACTTAAGTATCATTTTCCCATTTATGCAAATATTGCATAACTATTATGAACATATTAGTCCTTACTTATATGATTTTACTTTTAATAAAGAAGTTTAACTGAAGGTTAAAGGTTTTCGCATAATTCTAAGGCATTTTTGATTATTAATTTAGTTCTTTCACTCATTTTACACCGTACTATGAATAAAATATTTTAATAAATAACTCACTCAAGTAAAATATCGTAACACGTGTTTCAACAGTTGAAACTGAATAAGTACTCAACGCTTTTGTTCTGTATACTATGTTGCCCGGCTGCTATGGTAGCTGGTATAGGTAAATCTAATCAAGTGCATTTTCAGTTTTGCTTCTCAGATGATTGCTCATAATTTGCACTTGGTTGTTTTTACTAATACAGTTCTATGAAACTAAGTAGAATTGACACTTGGTTATTTTCTCTTCCTGTAGAGCATGCATTAAAAAGTGTACTTGTTGAGAAAAGTCATTTTGCCTCAAAATGTCACTTAGTGAGTTTTACCTTTTAAAGTGACGATTTCTTGAACAGCCCATTATATATAATAGTTCCAAAATAATCAGGTAATAAACCGTAAATAGCTAGTTATCTCTTGTTTTCTACATTCTACACCGTGCTAAGAATCACACGTTAAAAGGTAAGACCTCGTTAGTCCTTAGCTCGACTTTTGAGAGTCATGTTCGTAAAGTGGCGATATCTGGTTGACGGAAAAACAGATTTTAATAGATTTTTTTTAATATTCCAGGTTTAGCTCCATTGGTTCTTCAAGGATCTTGTACGCAGTGTACTCCACAGGAACAAAGGCAAATCAGAAAAGTTTTGGCATATATGCAAGTGAATTTTCCCAAGGAGTGGAATAAAATTTTGAAACAGTACTCTGGATGAAGAAAAATTCAATTTATACAAGTTATGTGTAGGTATCCTAATTGACAATGAAATACAAGTAAGAAACTTTCAACTTGTTGCAATACAAACCTTGATAAATAAAGAACATGAAGCAGGATATAAACAAATTTTCAGTATATGTGTATCATTTCTTAGTGGAGGTTAAAATAAATAATCTATTGTATATGTACAAAAAATAGTGAAATAAAAAAGTATAATCAACATCATGTCTATGAATGAATTATTACATCGATGTGAAACCTCTATAGTCATACGTAAAACCGATTGCAGGTGTGGTGACGCACGCCGTGGCGACGGGTCACCATGCGCAAGCGACTGTCCGATTCTCTTTCCCCTGGCTCTCACCACCCTGAGCTCGGATACCTATAGTATATACAGGTCTGTTTAGTAAAGTACACATAACGTGTGTTTTACTAAATAAATTATTTTGGAAAATGATTAAAAATCGAATATATCTGACAGTGATCATTTAGAAAGTGAAAGTGAGCAGCCTTCTGGAAAGAAAGGTCAATATCACACTACGACCCACTATGAAGTCATCAGTAGATCAATTATATCCTTATATTTCACAATCAAAATGTGCATTTATCTGAGCATTGAGCCCACGTATATTAAGTATGTGTCAAGGGTCAGTAAATGTTAAATCTATTCTCATATTAGATAAAGATTTACATTTTAAATTAATAAGTTAATTTTAATTTCATTGTTTTGAAAACTAATACACTAATAAATGCAACTAATAAATTTCATAAACCATTTGATCATCACAAACTTAATTTTCATAACTATCACGAATATCTGACACAGTAGCTTTTTCCTGGTGAATAACATACTAAAAATTAATTATTTACTCAAATTTTCACATACACCACGTAATCACATAAGTATCTAGTCAGGTACTTACTCGATCATAATTATTACCGAAGCATCTACTTAACTTTTATACACCTAGGTACATCCTCCACTATGATTACCTAGAGCCTAGATCATATTATATCAATTGACATTAATAATATCTTTATGAAGACTAGGATAACATCGATTTCTAAGAAAACAAGTTCAGTGATGGTGATTGGTGATATATATTGAACTTGATTTCTTAGAAATCATTGTTATCCTAGTCTTCATAGACATATATTAATGTAGAATTGATATAATGTGTTCTAGGTAATCAAAATTGAGGCTGGTTTGTGAAAATTCAGTAGGTAGATGCTATAGTTAATTTTGATCGAGTGGTGAATTCATACTCAATGTGATTACTCAGTGTATATAAAAATTAGATTAAATAATAAACTTTTAGTAAGTTATTGAATACGAAAAAGCTACTTTGTTTATGTAGTTTATGAAATTACTCTGGATCTTCATCAAATAAGGGCTGAATCAATCAGAACACTCCTGAAAAACTATCAACTCTCTTTTTGTCTGGGTCTTATAAATAGCTGAAGTTCATGATTTTCACATCTTCAACGCAGAGCAGAAGTATCCAAATAAAAAATTTCACTCATGACTGAGGCATGACTATACAAGTTAATTGTGGCACTAAAGGAGAAACAAGCAAAGCAGAAGATAAAATAAATTCAAGTGACCTGTTTATTTTGAGACGTGCCCGAAATATGATGAATTCAGAATAGATTTTATACTGAGAAGTGTAGCAACTGAGCATCCAGTGAAAGAGGAGGTAGTAAGATATACGATAAATCAACAGAGGCTAGCTGAAGAAATAAAAATCGGGATTGCGAACGGGAATGTTCTAACTCTAACAAGAAAAGGCGAATCAAAAGTACAATATGGAACTTCAAAAATTTAAATTTCAGCACTAATTGTGCCAAACTCAGCGAGTGACTTGTCAGTCGAAAAATCAATGGAAAAGGAAATGAGTTTTCATTTGAAGATGATAAAGCCACCATTTAAAACAAAAGTTGGTAGATGTCGATTGTTTGGTAATTCACATGTGTTATGAATAAACTTCTTCTTCTTCTTCTTTTTTCCTCAATGGCTTCAGCTGCCAGGGCTATCCAGCCCTATCCAGAATCATGTTGCTACAACAGGTGGAGCCCACACTGAAGTGGATCTGAGTCGGACCCAAACTCAACCTGGGTTTGCACTTAAACAAAGTTGAACTGTAATTTGAAGTGAGTTAACAGGCAACGTCCGACTATACGTGTATGGACATTACTATCAGGTCATGATTGGCGAAGCACTGCATGCGTACAAGTATTAGCTCTGTCTTGATCACTACATCTTCATATTGGATGCAATCAGGAATTTGGATATGGTTTGTATGTTAGATGGTGATATATGTTTGAAAAAGATATCGTGGAAGGTAAGAGGCTTAATAGTTGAAGGAGGGATGGTGACAGAGGCATTTGTAAATTGTGAGAATTGTTAGGGCAGGCAAATAATATATGTAGGAGAATCTGTATTTCCCTACATTCGCAGCGGTCGTCATCAACTATCCCAAGTTTGTGGAGATGCGCCTTATTGAAGGAATGATTGCTCCTAATTCTACACATATTACCGATTCCTCTATGAGAGCAGGTAGCCAGATCCTTGAACCATGGAGTTTTGTAAGGATGTGGCAGAGGAAAAGTTAAGTTTGGCTTTGAATTGATCCAGTCTATGTTATGTTTCAATAATGCTTGAAACTCTCTATAGTCTGCTTGAGGATGATTAGAGAGTGGATGGTTTCTTTCAATATTGGCTAAGGTGTCGGCTGTATCGTTACCCTTGATGTTGGAGTGACTATATAGGGATCCATGCTGTTTCCCTTTGTGGTGGCTCTATATGTCAGTTGACTGTTTGCAGATATGGTTGACTGGGAAATTTTTGCCAGGGCGCTTTTTGAGTCGCTAAAGATGACTGCGTGTTTGATATCATTGTCAACAACATACTGAACTGCTTCTCGGATGACTGTTATTTCAGCTGAATAAAGTGTTAGCGATGCTGAATAAACAAGAATAATAATAGGTTAGGTATGAACAGGATGAAACAGTTTCCTTTTTTCCGTGGTCATTGATATATTATCATGTATCTTAATATACATGTATTAATTTTCTAGGGAAGTTTTACATCAACAAATATCTGTGTAGTAATTTTTAAATAACCAGAATAAATGTATAATATAGTCACAACTGAAGATATTTGGTACTAGAGATATTTGGCCTATATGAAGAAGATGAGTTCACCAACTGAAGATTTCGTTTGATCATCAGGTGAAAAGGTTGCAGAGTGTCACTTCTTGTAATCTGAAATATTGATGATTGATGTTTTGATTTTTTTTGACATTTTGAAAATGGGCAATTTGATAACTTTTCACCAGGGAAAGTAGACGTTGTCTACGTCACAGTCACCCTATTTTCATGTTGTGGTAAAAAATTATTTGAAGTTAGTTATATATAACCATATATGAATGAATGAACGAACAACGACAATTTGAAGTTTCATTGTTTACACTTTTCTTCCCCTGAGTTTGACATTCGAATTGTGAAACCTAGATGTCAGCCACTCCTCCCTCTTGAATATCACTGCGAATGAAGCAAAGTTAAAACTTTCAATAAACTTTTACCGTAAATATACCTGCTGAGATGAATAAAATGCACCTTGATATTTGTTAATACTGTGAATGTAGCAATAGTCAAAACTGATTTTCATATGATAGCAAATATTGAACCTAACTTAATCTAGCGGAAACTTTCCCAACTTTAAGCAAAATCGTTTAGTTTGTATTAACGCAATCAGATGGCGCGTAACGCACCTTTTCGTCATTTAATGTTGGACATACTCATTACTTTTTATCTCTGTTCTTCATGTATTCAAACGAAGTTGCGTTATATTGAAAATTATGCAATCTGTGATATTCGTGATATCTACTTCGATGTCAAAAATTTCCAATGAAAACATCTGATTTCTGATTGATTGCCAAAATAAATTAGTTCAAGATTAAGTTTTTGTGTGTGAAACTAGCGATTTTTCATGAACTTTGTGAAAATGTAGATTTTGTTGCCCAATAAACTGTTAAAAGAGGTTGCTGCGACTAGTGGAAGTGTTGATCAATACCAACTACCAAGTAATTGTTTTTCTGTGAGTTGGAATAGGGGTATTTTTTTACCTCATGCCTAAACAAGATAGAGGACAACACTCACGTGAAAGTGATTCTCTTGAAGATGACAGACCCCTCAAGAAAGCCAGATTTGTCTGGGAAGTTAAAGGTAAATACCACCTCAAGGATTCTAGGAAAAACAATAATCCAGACCTTTCCAATACTTTTGCTTCCAATAATCAAACAAAAAACGATAACATGATTGCCAATGAGAGGTCAGAAAAAGAGATCCAATGTTCGACTAACCAAAATCAGGAGTGCTCGAGCAGATGTTGCCTTGAAACATTGTTAACGAAAACAGAATCTATAATGAGTAATGTAAATGAAGAATTTTCCAGTATTGTAGATGGGGTTTTTCTGGATGAAGATCCTATAACTTTCGTAAGTTTGAAACGAAAAACTGAGGAGTATTTTTTGCAGAAATGGCAAGCTAGGCAATTAGCCAGGGGATTTGTTGATAACACTATAAATAGTGTGCTAGACACTTATTCCAATCCACCGTTTGATGCAACTGATTTTGTAGAAAATTGTCAAAATGATGTCCAGGTTGAGGATGATGCTATATTGATGGCAATACAATCCCATGGATTGCAGTCAAGCTCTCAGAGAAATATTCCTTGTTTCAAATCTTCTGAAAACAATATATCTTTCAAGAAGACTGAAATAGAAGAATCAACACAGGATAATTTTGAAAATGTTCAATCGGAGCTCATCAAAGAAAATGTATCATCATCCAACTCTAATGATACTGATATGATGTATTGTGGATCAAGTTGTTCCAGCCAAATAGATCAAAGGAATACCGTTTCAGAAGATCCAATGGAATTTTTGAATGCAGCTGTTTCAGCAGCTATACAGAAAAATGGACTCTCTTATAGTTACTGATCAATCAAAAAGTGACTGTTTTTATTTGATTCTATGATTTTTCAAAAAAGACTGGTGTTTTATAATGTAGTCAATATGCTTAACATAGTAAGTAAACAATAAAATATTTACTAATTACCACCACTGAAAAATAGACCTGGAACCCCCAGTGTGAAATGAATATAATTGAAATTCTGACGACAATTCCAGAACAACTTCCCGATACATGTTTCATCAACC